CGTTCTGTGATTCTGTGATTCTGTAATGACATTACAACACAGTCTGTAGAACTTTGAAAGAATAATCTGCTTTGTGTTTCAAAACATGAGTTCTGGTTTAGGTGACTGGATTTTAATTATAAACTTGTTTTAAAACTTTAAAAGAGTTAGGTAAAAGGAAATGTAACTGGAATAGACTTGATTCCTTCAAACCATATTAGTCATAGTTCAGGTTCTCTTAAAGGCCAGTTTTATGCCAAAGAAATAGTTTTGTATGAAGAAGATGGCCAGAATATTTTAACTGGGGGTTCTTGACTTGATCTTGGAAGCTATAAAGCGTTTTTAAGTTTATCATAAACTCTAAGCAAAAATGGAGACAACAAAATGGATTTTTTGCTTCTTTGTAATAGGACACCACCGTCTTAGAAACATTTTTGTACTCAATTAGAGAATGGATAGAGTTTATAATAACATTGTATTAGAGTATTCCTTCTGTTAATAGGAAATTGAAAATGCTTGGAATGAATACCTGAAATTAGAAAAGGATGTGAGCCAGCTGAAAAAAGCCTTACAGGAACAGATGAACAGCTCATTGGTATCTCAGGTGAGTTCATTTCCAAGTACTGGTTTACTTATGAGATCGTTTTGTCTCAACTTCTAAGTTATTGTGCTGTAAGAGAAATTCTTTGCAGCTTTTTCACTGTATTCAGCTGTCATGTAGCTTAACTTCCAAAATTCATATATTGTAGCAGCATGGCTGTGCAGTAACTAGCTATCTTGCCTCGTGTGCAAAAGTTTATTGCAAGTTGTCTGTGCAAATTTGTCGTTATTTTATTATGTTTTCATTAGATGCTGACGTCTTGACATTGATAACGTATTTAATTTATAAGACTATGCAGGACTTCTTAGTCTTCCATTTATTTGATCTGACATTCTTGGTTTCTTTATCAGTTTTTAAGAACATCCATCACTAGCTTGTGATAGTCATAACTTGTTCTTTGTCATGTTCTATTTATGGGATATTTATCTCGGCAGATTGTTTTGTGAAGTGGAATAAGTGTTTAACAGCCATCAGTAATTGAAAGGCATCTTGGATTTAAATCAGTTACTCGGTTTTGAATCTTAGAAGAAGCTTTGTTTGAAGCTAAGTTACTCTCTTTGCTGAACTGGATGTAGGATACCAGATTATTTCTACATACCTGCTTGCAATTGGTGATTTTATTCTTCAAGCAAGGAATACAGTCCACGTTATCTTTCCTATATTTAAGCAGAACAGTTTTGTTTAAAAGACAAAGCACTAAGAAATAGCTGATGTTGCTTGGATATAGCATTAATTAAAATGTTCAAAACGAAATATTTCAAGCAGTTCAGCCATAGTAAATCTTGTTTTTAAGAGTGTAGCTTTGTCTTTTGCTTAAGGGCTAGGGGAATCTGGACATGCCGAAATCAACTTGAGATGTAGTATTTTGTCAGCAATAACGTTTTAGTCGATAAATGTTTCTCCTCTAGTTTTATAAGTAATCCTAAATCATGTTTTTGTGTGGAGGAAGTTGGAGAAATCGATTTATCTCTCCAAGTTACCTTTTCATGCTTGCCTGTAAAGGATAATTATACCCTTTCGTGAACAGCAATCTTAGTTTTCATAATTTAAAAACAAATTAATCTCTTTATCTTTTAGATCTAGTCCATTTTTTATCTAGAATATTATCTTCATATGCATATTTAAGTAGTGGGAAGAAATATTTAAGATCTCCTGGCTTTTGTAAATTACTGATAGAACATTTTTGGAATGGTTTCAGCAGCAGGATTCTTTGTACATGGGGGTTGTTTGGTTTTTTTTTTAAACCAGTTCTGAGGCTTGATTATTATAAATCCATCATTTGGTTCCTTGTAGTGTGATTAATCTCAGAAAAATGAAATTAAATGTGGACACTTATAGTTTGTATCCTGACAAGCTTTCAAGATATGTCTCATCTATCTAGTGAGTTTACTAAAGGCAAATAACTTTTTCCATCATGTAAATGTTTGTGTTCTTGGCATCCTGTTTGCTGATCTGTAACCTGCCTGAACTTATTTCTGATCTAAGACAGAAAGTGGAAAGCACTTTATATGTTTTCCTTAGCTCTGTGAGATGTAAGAGCTTTTACTAAAAGTTTTTACCTTTCAGGCTTATAGGATTAATTAGCAGTTATTTTGCAATTATTTTGCAGCTGATGGCAAGTGATGGATTTATGGAGTTCTTGAGCAGTTTGTAATAAATTCTTAACTACAGTGCTTCACTGCCCTCTGCTTTCTTTAGTAGAACGAAGAAGAAAAAAAATATTATTAGGTTGATACTTAATGTTAATTTTTGAAGACAGAATTACTGGGCTTTGATTAAGTAGATGATAATAGCAATTATTTATGATGATGGCAATGAACATCTGACTGAAGTGGTGGCTTCAGTAGCCAAGGCCTCTGGCAATCAAGGACGGAGTCCAGACTGTAGACAGAGCTTCCCTTTTTTCTTTCCTCCTGGAAAGCCTCAGTAAAGCAAATAAGGTGGAAGTGCAGACCCAGTCCTAAAACTGCAGCAATATATTGTTTCAGTCTATAGTACCTCATGTATAGTAGGGCTGACAACCCAAATATAAGGAGAAATTAAATTTGTTAGCCCTTCTGAGCTAGTTTTGGTTTTATATTTCATCCATTAAAAGCCATTAGGAAATTCACAGCAGTATTCAGACAGACTATACTAATTTTTTGCTTTTTCAATATCGGACATTTAGGAATGTATTAAGATGTGTTTCATAAGGCTGCCTTAGCAGTCTTAAGTGTGTTAGTGTACGATCTGAGAACAAAGTTCAAATGAAAAGGTTCTGTAAGCTTATTTTACGTAGAACATTAACCTAGGTTTTTGTAGCCTGAATGATGTTGTAGAGAAAAATGTAGAGATGTCTCTTTCCCCCAGTGTTCTATAGGAGGTGTTCCAAGACTCAGAAAATGCTCTAATACATTTTATGGGCAAGAGAGGTTGTTTTGTGTTTATGTTTTGGGGTTTTTAAAAATTATTTTAAAATAATTATTTAACTAATTTCTAGAATTCTAGGTTTTCATGTAAGTTCTGAAACATTACTTTGGTTTTGGTGTCAAAAGAAGGATAAGCCTGTAATAAATTGTGGTACAATTGATTTTTCTTGTTTTCTTTTACTACAAACATCAGGAGAAAACACAAATACAAAAAGACTTGTGGAGAATTGAAGATGTAACAGCTGTCTTGAGTGCAAATAAAGCAAACTACAAAACCATAGTAGACTCTATCAAGAATCCAGGTAAGGAGGACATAATTAAAAAAAAGCGAAACAAACCCAAAAATGAAACAAAGAAACAAAAAACCCACAAACAACAACAAAAAAATGCAGCTGAATCTTTAGGTCTCTGCAAATAGTCGAGAAGTTTGTTCTACAACAAAAATCCAGTTCATTCTGCTATTAGTTGCATCAGAAAACTGTTGATTGAGCATTGGCATTTCTTCTCTTGAGGTGGCAAAAAGGTGTTTTGGTGTTTATTTTCACATGCTGATGGCACTGAAATAGAACAAGCCATAAAAAAAGGGAACAATAATAATAATGGTCTACATTCCTTAAGTTTCAGAAAGAGTTTCTGTCACATGCCAGGCTCATACCATCGCAGTATCTATTCTGAGTTCTGTGCAGGAGCTCCTCTCTGTGTCTTCTCTGCTTGTTTTGTTTTGTTTTGTTTAATCCCTGGATGCTGCCCTTGCTGCAGTTGCCTTCCCCCACCCTCTTCAGGCAGGTGTTTGGTTAGCAGGGCAACAACATCAGTGATGGAAAAAGAGATAGTGTGTGTGGTCTGCATTTCAATTGCTTTATTTTGTTTCAAAGAAAAGACCTAATGCATTGAGATAGCAAGAGACTTTTAATGCATACTGTAAATTCACTTTAAAGTGTCTTTACTTACCTTTTACATACAGAGATAAAATAGTTCTGAGATGGTGAGATCTTATTTAAGTTATGGCTATGAGTGCTTAGCCTTGTCTAGATCTATAGGCATCTTAAAGAATGTGTGGCACAGAGCCAGATACAGCCTGTGAGCTGATTTCATAAGAGACTCTGTCTTTTCCTTCCTTCCCTCCCACTGCCCTTTCCAAGGAATTTTACTAGATAGTATTAAAGTGTGTGTTTTTATTTTTTGCCTGAAAGGTTTGCTTGATCCTCATGAAGAAAATAATTTCCACCCTTGCTATAATGTAACAATCAAACATTTTTTTCTCCAAAAACAACCCCCATTTGTGTTCAAAGCAAAGTGCAGAGTATTAGGGCTGTTTTATGAAGTCTAAGAATGTTAATTGGTTATGTTATTATCATGAATATTATTGTTGAGAAACAACACCTAACACATTTGCGTCTTTCTCCCCTAGAGAGAAAAATAGTGCCTTCATTTTCTCAGTCTTCAGTGCCTTCCTTACCAGCTTCCCCCACGGCTGCGGAGAGCAAACTTACAGTCCCGCAAAGCCCTCCACCCAGTCCGGTTAAATCCTCTCTGGAGGTTAGGCTGTATCCACAGCCTTATTTCCAGTCCAGAATGCCACACCAAGCACAGCAGCTGAAAAAAATCGAGCCACCTTTTTGGTCACAAGTTAATCTAAAGCCAAAGGCTGTAAGTACTGCGCTTGTGAGATTAATTCACCAATGTTTCTATTTACTTCTGGCAGAAGCAGTGAAAGTTTAATGGTTATGAAGTGTGGAGGCACAACAGGGGGATTCTTAAGGTGTTTGTATTGAAACTGCGCAATAGCACGTGCAGGAGAATGTGTGTGTAACCTGGAGCTTTATGTACAGTAGCCATGTACTGTTTTAGAACATACCAATGCAGAGTCTTCCTTGGTAATGCTTTGTGGTTAATTAGTTGTTTGCTTTCTTGGGTCTTTGGTTTTTAAAGCCTCAGGCTCCTGGCGTGGCCAGAGGACAGCATGTTAAAGTAGTCACAAATAACTCACAATGTAATGAACTTTCAGCCAGTTTATGCCAGAGTGTTTTCAGACTGTTTGCCAAATACCTGTGCTTTCCTGTTACCAGGAAGATGAGGCACCACCCAGACCTCCTCTCCCTCAGCTGTACAGTCCTGATGATCAGCCACCAGCTGTTCCACCTCTCCCGAGAGAAGCCACTGTCATTAGACACACATCAGTGCGGGGCCTGAAACGTCAGTCAGATGAAAGAAAGAGAGACAGAGAACTTGGACAGTATGTTAATGGAGATTATAGGGTGAGCACTCATACTGCTATACACCTGCACTTTAAAGATATGTGACCCCATAATAAAAGATGTTGTCTGTAGGTCTTGTAATAAGGAGAGAGAGAGAATGGCAGAGATATAGGAATGGCAGGGAGAGATCTATGCCATATAATAACAGCAGAGAGAGATTTATTAATCCAGAAACAAAGCTTTAGGATTTGTTCTAAGATCATTGAGACTTGCTGTCTATGATTTCATTTGAGCTGATGAGTATTTTTGCATGTAGGTGGAACTGCGTTCATACATGAGTGAACCAGAATTAGCAACACTAGGGAGTGACCTCAGCCAGCCCTCCAGTGGTTTAATAAGCTCTGACAGTGGATACCAGACATTGCCTACTCGTGGTAAGCCAGGTATTTACATAGTTGATTTTTAACAGCACTGTGAGTATAGGAGCTTTTCTCTCCTAGGATTTTCTGGAGATGGTCTTTATAATTGGATCATTATGTTTAGATTAACTGTACAATGCTGTGAAAGCTGTGCATTTTAATGGTGCTTTTAAAAAAGACCACCAGCCTTTTGCAAAGCAAAACATATAATGCTTAAAAAAAGACACAGCAAAACATGAAATTAGCTGTTAGAATGTCTCCTATATTCAGAATTGTTTCTTCATAAGTTCTGTGTGATCTTTTACAAACTCAGTTTTTTAAGTGCTTTTATTGCCATTGAAATGAAAGTGACAAAAAATATCACTACACTACATGTGACTTGGCATTCCATCCCCACTATTCTACAGTCCTGTAACTGTTTCACAAATAAGGATAGAGAGGATATCTGGGGAAAAACAGTTAATTTCTTAGCCATTCTTTCTTATTGCTTGCCTTTCTAACTGTGAACGTTAAGGTTTCATTTTCTTCATATATGTGACTATTTGTACAGGTTATCAACTGTTGTACAGCTGAGTTCACCCCATACCTTATTTGATACAAGCTTTGAAACTATTGTAGACCTTTCTGAATCTTGATCAAAACACGTTACTTCTGGCCAAAATGACATTTCATGTCTCTCTTGATCTGAACCGCAAAATGCAAAACGTGAGCCAAAATAATAGCCAGAATGTCATAGAAAAAGCATGATAATTTAGAAAATATCCGACGCTTGTCTTCAGTTTGTCTGTCATTTTGTTCTAAAGCATTCTCTTTCTCCTTTTAAAGGTTTATCTGGATCAACTTCCAGATTGCACCAATCATCTACCATTTCGTCATATGCAACACTTCGAAGGGATAGTTCCAAGGTACGTTTTAAATGAACATCTGAAGGCAAATGTCTGAACTGTTCCAAATAGCTAAGGCCAGAAAATTCATTACACAGCAGAAAGTGGGATTGTCGTAGCATGGGAGAGGACCCAACACCTCTAATAAAATCTCCAGGTTTTCACTTTTTTAAATGAAACAGGAAGCAGATAGACAACTTACTGCATTTGAAATAAATTTATCAAACAAGGTTTGGAACCAAAAATCAGCAGTACTAGTAGAAAATATAGAGTTAAATATGCAAATTAATGCAAAAATAATGCAACAAAGTCATGTTAATTTATTGGTAAGGTAGAAGAAATAGTTGATTATTTTTGTATACTACTTATAAAGTACTAATTACAACATGTTTTGTGTGCATTATGACTTCTACAGGAGAGACCAAAGAGTGCCTTGGAACGTTTATACTCTGGAGACCACCAAAGAGGCAAGATGAGTGCTGAGGAACAACTGGAAAGAATGAAGCGACATCAGAAGGCATTAGTTCGTGAACGCAAGAGAACTCTTAGCCAAGGAGAAAGGCAGTCTGTTTCATCTCGGTCTTTCATCAGGCCCATTTCTGCAGACATAGGCTCAGTATGTTAGATATGCCTTAAAAGGACTAAACTAAACATGTATTTGGATTGGGTTTTTTTCCTAGCAAGCACTTTCACTTGAGTGTGTGTGATGCTTCTAGTCTAATTAAATTAGTGTTGTACAGTATAAAATGAGTTCAGAGAGTGTGAGTAACAGATGATCTTTTTTCACTAGTAGTTACAGTGTAGCAGGTAAATTGGTCGGAGGCTGATGTGCTGAGTGGAGATGTGAGTGCATTGGAGTGACTTCAGAGACATGATTGGTTCTTATTGCAATTGTATTTAGAAAGTGTAAGAAGCTTGTACAGTTTTAAAACTGCTTCATAATGGAATGGGCCTTTTAGAATGTTCTTATTCCCCATGGGTATTTTTCTTTTTAATTAATAAATTAGGCTACAAGTTAATTGTGGTAATATCAGGCCAAGGTGGTAGTCTGGTTTTTTCAGAGGGATGATAAATGGATAATCAGTTTTAAAATCTAATCATGCTGATTAGAAATGTATGTAAGAGCTAATGTGCTTTAATTGATACAAATTCTTTAAAGCTCAAAATACAGAATATTCTAATAAGGCTCAAATTTAAGCTGCTGAAGAAAAGGATTTTTGTTGTGTTCTGAGATGAAACGCTGTACAGATTATAAATTTGTAACAATACACTTTGGATACTAACCAAAGCAGTTCTAATTGGTGAAGTTACCTAGTCGCTCACTTGGTGCTAAACCAAGATTATACTGTAATTGCACTTAATGCTATGGTCTTTTAATTTAGTTTTTATTTGGTCCACTAGAGCTTTTAGAACGATCACCTTGTTTTACCTAATTCATTGCACAAGATCTCTTGCTTTGAGATTTGTCACTCATCATACCTAATGCCTCTTCTTTTGTTTGCTTGTTTTTACTTTGCAGAATTTTTTAGTTATTTTATAACTTCTAACTGGACTACTCAATTTTTACCAGGCTTAATTGCATTTAGTACATGTGTGTCAATTGCTAGCATTGAAAGAAACCCTATAATATTCAGCTTTTTAGTCCCACTGTTCAGTAGCACTAATTTACAGCCAGTTATTTGTACTTACCTTTTCATTAAATACGAGTGCACTACTTGGAGACATTAATCTATTTTGTCTTCTGTTTTGTAATCACAAATTTATTAAAAATAGTGCATCATGTTTGGGAACTGTAGAACTATAGTATCACTGATATTTTCATATTTTAATTAGAACAACTGAATCCAAGCTGCTTATGTTTCCTGACTCATACACACGTCGAATTTAAACATTTTCATACCACTCCTTATTAACATTTTTGGCAAGTACTTTATCTATAAATTTGGGTGCCATCGTGGTCTTTTTCTTGCTATAAAGAATTAAAATAGTGTCTTTCAGCCCTAGCAGTGTCTTACAGAGTTCATCTCTTGTACATATAGGGCTTTGATACACAAAAAGCATGTTTGATAGCGCGATTACCTACAGCATTACAATTATTTAGCAGCCAAAATGGCAAACAGTTAAATATATAATGGAGGTGCTGCTCAGTATGTAACATTTGCTTTAAACATACATTGTATGTGTAACTCTAATTTTTAATTGGTCAGCTCTCAAGTATAGCATGGCATTTTAAGTATTGATCACAGTACATTAATTCATGTGTTATATATAATGCCTTTTTGATGTAAAAATCGCAGCATCAAAGCCAATAAAACTACTGCTTCGTAATAATAGTTTGATGTTTTTTTTGCCTATATATAATAACTTGAAAATGATACTGTGTATTTAAAATATACTATGTCAATCAGGCCTGGTTCGAATATGAGTAGAATGAGTTTGGAGTACTCGTATGAGAAAACATTTTTTCTCTTTTGAATTCCGTAAAGAAAAATCTTAATTTTTGAGATATAATTGCCTTTTAGCTATTTACCTTTTTTAATATACATGGAAGACATGTATCTCTGAGTGAGTATTGAGAGCTTGTGCATGAATAGGTTTCAATTAGATTTATTAATGCAAATAGCATAATGAAGTCTAAAGACTTCATATGAAGCTCAGACTTCAACCAAAACAAGCCAAAGATTTGTAGCAAAAATACTAGAGATGCTTTTAGGAAAGATATAGTGACTTGTTCTCCTATTGATACTCTCAAATACTTGAGGGGATATTTTTTTATTGTTGTTTTTTGTCTCTTTCCTACTGCTTTTAATACCGGGTTTCAATTCTGTATGGTAAAGTTGCTGAGATCTGTTGGATAGAGTGATGCTGCAACCAGACTTAATTTTTTGAACCAAAAAGTGTTGGTAGTGTTCTTAAATGTGAGTTTACATGGAGCTATATTATGTGTAGCTGTGGAGGAGCTACTATGCAATGATTTTTCGATCTCTAAAATTATACTGCTTAATTTATTTATGTTCTGAATTTATTATTGCTAAATATTTACCTTGTAAAGACAGTATGTGAAAGATTTTTTATCTTTCCAAGTAGCTAGATACTTTAGTAAAGACATAAGAGCTTAGAAGTTACTAAATTATTTTTAATTCAAGACAAGTTAATGCTAGTGCATAAAATATTATTAGCTTTAATCACTAGGTATTATTCTAGAAAGACACATAAAACTTTCAAGTTACAATTCTCAGCCTGCAGGATGAATACCCTTTCTGTGTAGTGATTCCAGATCACACAGCACCGCCTGGTTAGAACGCACAGGACGGATCTGTCAGGCTGTAGACTCCCTCGTACTGACATCTGCTTCCAAAGGTGTTTGTGTGTAGCGAGTTCCATGTTAAACAGCATATGTGGAGTTGTAATTAATACATTCCTTAGTTAATACTGCTGAACATTTCCTGTAAAACTAAACAGTGCTCCAAAATCCGTGCAGCACAGCCAGAGACCCAATGTCCCAACCATACGTTGCAAGAAATACAGTTACCTTTTCTTGTCAGTTAAGGAATGTTCTCTGTAGATTCTTTCGGCAATATAGCATTTGCAGCAGTAGTCATGTACATTGCTAAAAGATGAATTTGTCAGTATTGTTGAATGCTGTTAATTGTTTTGTATCTGTTACTAGTGGAAACGAGAGCAAGAATTTGATTTGCAGTTACTTGAGAGGGCAATTCGTGGAGAAGACAAGGATGGAAACGAATGGTTAAAAGTTAAGCCACTAGCAGTGACAGAGACAGACCTGGAGCCTCAAGACTATGATTTAGATATCAGCAGAGAGGTAACATTCATAATTTTTTACCTTCTATTCTGAGCCCCAAAATACTAACCTTTCTCAGTTTTAGGTAGTGAGTTCTCATCATTGCTTTCAAAAGTTAGCTGGAAGTTTGAATTTAATGGAGTCTTTCTAGTATTGAAAATTTATGGCCAGGCACTTAGAATCTCTGTAAAGTTCATGTTCATTTTGTGTTTTAGTGGAGAGAAGAAATTGAAAGGTTGTCTCTACTGTTTGAAATACACATCTCAAGCTTGATAGAGGAAAAACTGATTAAGTTAGGCAATGCTATGTAAATTGGAAAAAAAGACAACATCAAGAGTATTTGAAAATAAGAAACAGCAATGAAGTACTCTTCATTTTGACTGGCAAAACACAGTACAGCAGCTTTATTCTGATCAGAACAGAAAACACTTTCCTGTCAGCTTTTCAAATGATTTGGTTGGTGTTCTGGGCACTAGATCTTTGTTCAGGTCTAGTAACCAAGTGTTTGTTTGAAATGCTGTTGAGCCATCTGGTGGAAAAGAAAGAACATAGCAAGTGTACTTACAATGCAGTATGTACAAGACTGTGCTGTATGCTTTGGGCCTATGATTGCCTGGGAATTACTGAGCTTAATCACTGGGAGTTAGGTCAGACAACTTTACATATGCCATTGAATTAGTGTGGATTAAGTTCAGTGGTGAAAAATTTAGGATTATTTTTATTTAAAACTCTGAATTTTGAAAACTCATCACCTCGTGAATGTTTTAACAAAATCCAAGGAGAAGAAAAAATAGTTCCCCTTTACTTACTTTTATTTATTTCACACATACTCTGTTGATGCTTTTCGAAAGCAGTCTGTTCTGTGTAATTAGCTTTTTTATTTTCAAAGTCCATTTGTGCATGTGAATTTTCGTTCTATGATTTAGATCTTTTATGTGGACCAGAAGTTTCCCACAACAAAACTGACTCTAACATAAACTTGTTGCTACCTTTTGTGCAATCATATTAACATTTTCAGTCTACAGAATTAAAGCATATGCAACATGTTGTTAAAATTGCACAGTGTTAGTGTATTTCTGGGTCAGTTCTATAGACAACTTTTGAACACCTAGGGTTTCAGATTTTATAGTCAAAGAATTTCCTAAGATGATTACAAAATGTTGGGGGGGTTGTTGTTTGTGGGTTTCGGTTTGTTTTAATCTTCACTGCTGCTCACAGAATATTACGCAGTCTCAAAAGAATGATACCCCAGATTAAAACTTAGTGATGTTTCCTTTCAGCTGTGGGAAGTCTGTGCTGTCGCGACATACGTATCATGACATTAAAATCTCAGGTTGTCCAGTCAATCTTGTAATGGTTGTTTCTTTCTACTGTAACAGCTTTAGGCAGTGCCCTACTTCAGGCTCTTAAGCCTGAGCTGCAGAAAGATTTCCTGTTGATTCTGATTTCTTTTGTAATCCCCTTTAATATTTGTTTGATCTATCTTCTAAAGTAAAATGAATCAGAGAGAAAAGACACTGTTAAAAGGGCATCAGCTGATATCCAGAGGGAGTGTTTAGCATCAGGAATGTGTATTGATTGTGTAAACCCATGCTTTATTCTTTTCACTGTGTTCTCCCATTGAGGAGAATTTATCCCATTTTTTGTAAAGTCTTTGTTATTAAAAACTCTATACTTGCTTTCTTTCCACAGTTGTCAAAACCAGAGAAGGTTGCAATTCCAGAACGGTACGTTGAACTGGAGCCAGAGGAGCCTCTTTCTACAGAAGAACTGGAAGCAAGGCAGCGTAAAGCAGAAAAGATAAAGAATATTCTTACTAAATCAAGGTCAGTTTTTTTTCAAATCTTATCCAGAGGCTGGTGTTAAACACTGTGAACTAACTTCATACAACAGTCTAATTCTTACTGAATTCTCTAAGTGTAACATGTGGCTTTTAGCAAATCCACACAGAATTTATCTAGTATACTGAAAGCTCCTTTTTCAAATAGAGTAGAAAAGATAACAACCAATTCTGTGTATGTCCATTTTCTTGTTCAGAGCATCCTAAAATAACAGTGAGTCCTTACTAAGCAACTTGTATTTGAGAGTGAGGAGAAAGGAATTGCACAGATCTGGCCAAAAGCAGAAGAAGAGTCAGTGTGAGAGCAAGTTTCTATTGTCTCCAGACAGCCAGAGTTCTGAAAGAACACTTGTGGCTGCTTAGAGCTGAAAGAGAGTCAGCTAAAACATTCAGCTTCAAGAATTCCAGTTCTGGGGCCAAGTCCAGAGGAGGGCCACAAAGAAGATGGTCAGAGGGCTGGAGCATCTCTCCTGCGAGGACCGGCTGAGTTGGGGCTGCTCAGCCTGGAGAAGAGAAGGCTCCGGGGAGACCTTATTGCTGTCTTCCAGTTCCTGAAGGGGCCCTACAGGAAAGCTGGGGAGGGACTTTTTACAAGGGCAGGTAGCGATAGGATGAGGGGTAATGGTTTTAAACTGGAAGAGGGTAGATTTAGACTGGATATTAGGAAGAAATTTTTTACAGTGAGGGTGGTGAGACACTGGCACAGGTTGCCCAGGGAAGTTGTGGATGTCCCCTCCCTGGAAGTGTTCAAGGCCAGGTTGGAGGAGGCTTGGAACAGCCTGGTCTGGTGGAGGTGTCCTTGCCCATGGCAGGGGTTGGACTGGATGAGCTTTAAGGTCCCTTCCAACCTAAACCATTCTGTGATTCTGTGGTTCTATTAATTTGATTATCTCAAGTGTCTACTGTCTCTTTGGAAGACAATTAAAGAGGCTGTGCCTGAGGACCACCAGGTTATATGCCTATGTAAATAGTGCATTTACAACAAAGGACTTCCAGATCTACTTGAGGCTATGCAGGAATTGTGATTGAATGCGTAATAGCTACATCATTTGTCTTTATATGCTGTAGTCATTTACGTGCAGTATCTAACACTACTTTAAAGAACTTCACTAAAATACGGAGCTTGATAGATGAAATCTGAAAACTGCTGTATGAATCCAAGATTGTTCTCGTCTGCATGGTGGTTTCTTCTTTAAGGTCATAAATGTTAATGTTGTTTTTGCACTTTCCCACTAGTATGCACAATCTACAGCCTACTGTTGCCCAGGATAAACACAACTCAGTTGATTTAGATTCACAGCTGCAAGAACAGGAGCGCATCATTACCATATCATACGCTTTGGCTTCTGAAGCCTCTCAAAGGAGCAAGGAGGTAGCAGGTAATACTTAGTTATTTACAAAATAACAGCTGTTTCTTATCAGCTTCTAAAGTTGTGTGGGGTTATTGATGAACTCCTGGCATAAGTGAATTTTAGTCATTCATATTCAAAATAGTGAAAAGTGTGTACAGATAACAAATTTAGAGAGACTGAAAATTTATACAGAGTATTTGGCCTCCAGTGGACAGAGTGAAGGGAACCAAATAGTGTGATCAATAAGTTCAGAGCTTGGAAACTTGCTCTTACTAATAGTACTAAAAAATCTACATTTTCAGTTAGTTCCCTAGAATTATATTAAATGAGGTATTTCTGTATTCATTTTTTAAAGGAAATTGATTTGTGATTTTAAAAAAATCAAAGCAATTTTATTATTTTTTTTTAATAGAAATATTCCCTGGTCCAGTGATTGAGATTAGAGTACAATCATTTGCAGCTCGAGCTGTATGATAACAAGCTGAAAAAGACATGGTAAAATGGGTACTGGCATGTTTCTGTCTAGTGACCAACATTAGAGGTCAGAGCAAGACAGCGGTCCATGAATTCTGCTTGATGCCTGGAAATTATTAGATCCTTTGCAATACGTTACTGAGAGTGATAATTTCACTCTTGATTGCTTTATGGTTGAAATAAGAAATGTCAAGGGATTTGTATCACACAGTAATACATGTAGCAGCTATTCTAGCAAGTAACTAGCCATTCATAACTGGCACAGTTCACCGTTCCAGTGGAGAATGGAAATAATGGAAACTTCAACTATGATGGAGAAAAAATATGCACATTTCTCATCTTAAGTTGTCAGTTTAAACTTATGGCACTTGCCACAGAACCCCTTAAGACCTTCCTATTAAAGACACATTACTCCGATATCCAGATGCGTAACATGAATCTATAGTAACAGACTTGATTGAATGTGGCGGTATTCTCATGGGTACAGTGGCAGCTAAACTTGAGAGGAATGTGATTTTGAGGGGATGGAATACATTTTCAAGATAAGAATCTTCAGACTTTGGAGAGGCTCTCTGTGTAATTTAACTGACTGGAAGGGATAAACTGATTCACTAAGGAGGCTAGACATTTAAAATACCAAACAAACAAAAAAAATCCCAAACCAACAAACCACAAAACAAACAGAAAACCCTCCAGAACTGTAAATTCTTGGGAGTATTTCAGATATAACCTTTTGGACCTTCAGGTATCTGTGCATCAAAACGGCTTCCCCACAGGCAATCTGGTCCCAGTTCCAGTACCTATGTCCTTACAACAGAGACTTGCACTCTTCATTATGGAAAGTGACTCTGTGTTTCAGGAGCTATGAACCGTGCAGCATTTTCCCACCTGAATTCTAGCTTCTTCTGGGAAAAGGTAGCATCGAAGCTAAGATCAACCAAGGTGAATGGAGCCCATACTTGAAATTACTCCTCTGTATCAGTACAAGAGCAGAGTGCCTGCCAAACCAAACAGTCTTCATGTGGCCAGTTCACTTCTGGGTGTGCATGAAGTTGCAGTAACTGTGCAGTGTTGAAACATGTTTGATCATTTTATGTTGTATGATGTATGTAGTACCTATGTTTTCATCACTACAGGGTTTTTTTTGTTTCTATTTTAATTTTTTATTGTAATTATTTCAAAAGTGTGATCACTACAGAAATCTTTAGCTCTCAGGGAATTAAAATGTTTATCAGTACTGTACTGCAGCTGGCTGTTGTAAGATGATTTTTAATTTAATTTTCTTTGTAAAGGGTAGCAGCTAGCTCTTTAGTCTTTCAGGAATGGTTGAAAAAACCCTAACATAGCAGCCAAGGACTTGATTTGTTAAGGAAGCCCAAACTTTTATGTCCACATAGTTTTCTTTGCCACATTTGTATCTCAAATACTCACTTCTTGTAATATCGTTTGATTTTATTTCAGTTATTACTTACTCTGTTCAAAACAGAGACCTTTCGAGAAATTCTGAAAAAAATTCTAAAAAAAACCCCAGAGTGGTTTGGTTTTGCTGGAAAATACACAAACCGTGAAAAGAAAGGGTTCTTTTAGTCATGACCCATTTTCCAATGGTCTTACATTGTTAAAGAAAAAAATAATTTGATGCTTTGCACAGCTGATTGTACATTCTCATTCTAATTTTACAGTTTCTTTAACATTCTTATTTTTGTAGCTTGATTTTTAAAGTATGGCTTGTCATTTGGTCCTTGTTAACAAAGCAGACTGTATCAGAAAATCCAAAACAAAATGTCTAGATTTTTACAAATACTTGCTTATGAAAAAGAGTAAAGCTTAACTTTTGCTATTTTTTTGGTGGGGAAAGCAGTTAAGTTATGTTAAGATGCTATAATAATATAAATCTATTTTAAAATAAATTATACATTTATCTAATCCTTGTAAAGCAGGATTTCAGAATTCCTCTGTTCCTAGTAAGAAATTAACCTTCTATATTGAAGTAATGCCAAGAATCTGAAAGATTAAAATCAAATGCAGGAGTATCAAGAAGTCATTTCCTAAATTCCATGTTTTGGAAATAAGTCTACCTTTGGCCCTCCAAACTGTAAAAGCAGAATTTAAGACTGAGTTTCAGTCTCTTTAGTTTCATGATAATTGTCTTCTAATACTGTAACATTACTCAGTTTTATATTCAAGGACAGTTTTAATCATTATATTCTTTATCCTGAAGTTTCAAGCTGAGATCTAAAAATGCATTTGCTGCATCATTCACTGTACTAAGTGAAATGTGTGCATATGTAAATTTTTTGGGGTGATTTTACTATATGTTATTTTTGCTTCTGCTCACTGGAGTGTAACAGAGAAAATGTTGAAAGCCCATACAACCCCACTGAAATCTTGAAATCAAATCAACAAATACAGGTGTTATTCCAGAACTGCAGTTTTAAAAGCAGGGCTAGATTAGGGTATATCAGTGCTGTGTGCCTTAAAAATGTTCCAGTGAAACTTTATCTTACAATAGATTGTCCATATTCTCATCAAAACAGGACGACTTCCTTCTTATAACTTATGCCCCTTCTTATGCAGGTAGAAGTTTTGTTTAAATTGTGTTTCATGTAACTAAAATAGTGTAACACTTCATTGCATTACTGATAAGGTTTCCTATTCACGTGGTAGAAAATTAAGGTGGCTCTGTTAAAAAACAAATGTTTGATTGTGCAGCCTAATTCCTGTATGTGATCCCTTCTAGCCCAGCAGTTGACCTATCCATCTAAAGCACCCTCACCTTCTGTACCACAGCCACCTCAATCCCCCTTAAGCAATGGATTTCACTACACATTTGTTTAAACACCTTAAAAGTAAGAACTAACTACTTTTGGCATGACTGATTTGCTATTGTACCTTTGCTGTGGCTTGCTGAATTTTTACTAAACCTAAATTAGATCCAAATGAACACTTGCATCTATTTTTCAGAAACCTTTTCTTTTTTACAATATTGCTTCTAATGAGCTAACGTCTGGGCTAACAGTCTTCAAATAACTGCTGTCACTCTATGGATAAGCTGCTTCCATAACCTTAGTGTGGTGAAGGAAAGAGACATCTGTACTCTTGGTAGCATGGGGCCAGATTTTCAGCCGTGTTTTGTACTCCAGTGACTGGTGGTGTGTACCCTGTGGCTACCATAGGTGTGCGCAGATACTTTTGCCTGTGCACAGTACACAGTTGCTGCACAAGAAAATCCAAAGCATAAAGTTGTATAAGCAAGGGGTTCGTTTATGGGCTTATCTTACACTTGAACAAACATTGGAGTCTTTATTGAGGTGAACTGAAAATTTGGTCCTTTATAACTAGTTCTACAATATTGTGTTTGACTTTTTTCATGTCTTTTATGTGTTTTTCATTGAATTGTTCTCATTGCCGCTAATCTGAGTCAAATATCTGTGCAAAAAAAGAAAAATCCAAATAAAAAAGAGCACATTCCAGAAAGGGCCAAATGTGCAGTGGCCGCCTTCAACAAGGCCCATGAAAAATGACCATTTGACTTCAAGAGAGGCGTACAGACTTCAGGAGCCTCTACAAAGCTTGATGGAGATTATTTGCTTTTCTGGTTCAGTTTATCTTTCTGAGAACAAGATTCTATCATCTTTGCTGTGTCTGAACAACACTTGACTCTACTATTATATCCAGGGACATGCTAGTTGGTTATCACTATCACATGAGATCTGTACATGTGAACAGGGTACCCACGTGTGGCCTCAAGCACACAAAAAGTAACGGTGCAATCCCAGACTACTAGACCAGATGACCTTCATAGGTCCTTTTCCACCTCAACCCCTCTGTGATTCGAGCCTGGCTTAAAAACATCATATGTCTGCATGAATACACATATATATATATATATATATATGTATTTTTAAACCACTGCATTTTCTTCAGGAAAGTTATCAAGAAAATAATTGCAATAACCAGTAACATTCAGGGGACGCGGGAGTTTGAGCATCAGTGGCATCATGAGATAATTGTTTGCATACTCTGTCTATATGACTTGTTCATTCTGTCAAACTGCAGAAGGCTTTAATCATAAAAAGTTTCCTGAAAGTGCTTACTGATTGGCATTAGTGTACTCACTTAGATATTTAACCATGTTTTATTTTACTTCATGCTAGCCAAAGCAATAAGTGAACACTGAGATATGGCTCAAAGCAAATCCCGCCTAGTGATGCTGCATGGAAGAAAGAGGAGATTCGTTACCAGCTTTCTGTGAAGATACTCATTGGCTGATGACATGTTCTTCTGGAAGTGCACTCAGAGAATATAATAATAGGGGGATTTTCTATGAAAATTAAGAGAATTGCAAATTTTTAATTTTTTTTAACTTCCGTTTAGTTCAGACATTTTGTATGAATAAATGGCACTTTTAATAAACTGTAAAATACTGACAATGTATTTTTAGGACAATGTATTTTTAGAACAATGTATTTTAGAATCTTTTAAAATCAAGGGCTGAATTCTTTTTTTAAGAGAAACCACTTCCATAGATGTTAAAAGATGCTGTTACTTCCCCCTCGGGCTCAGATGCACAATGTAAAGTTTCCTGAAAAAACGTTGAACAAGCCTAGAAGCACATTTACAGGGTATGGGTAGAGCTAACACAAGTGAAAGGTTTGCCAAAGGGTGGTTTGGATTGAATATTTTTGTAGAGTTAATCACCCTTTTGCCCATTAAATAATGCATTGCCAGGAACTTTCAGCTGGGATTTCTAAATATCAGTAACTGCTGCATAGCTGAAATTTCCCACAAAAGCCATAATGAAAGGCAGTTTTAACTCCCGTTTCCTTTTCTGATCCCATGTGGTTAACTTGCTGGTATCAGCACCCAGTGCGCTAGGTTGCTCTCGACAGTAGTGCTGTCCCCTTGGTAACAAAGAGCTAACAAATTATATTTTTTGAAACTTGTGAAAGAAGAAAACTTTTGATTAAACTATGTGAAGTAAGCAATTAAAAAAATATAATAGGATGTGTAATTTTACTGGTAAATGTGTATTTTTCTTTTGATTTTTGTCAATAAACATTACAACATGATGTATTGACTAGTATTTATCCTGGAAACAGAAGAAGCCAATGTAATGTGGCACCTGCCGATTTCGTCGGTATGTTCACCTGATGCTTAACTTTGCCAAACTTTTAAATTCAGTGTTTTACTGACGTATAGGGCAAAGTGTAAGGTAGTTGCGTAAGTAGAAAGTAAGATTACATGAATTGCTGCAATTACTTTACTTGAAAAAAAACCTGTGTACGCATTGAATGCAATACATGCAAAAATTTCCCAATGTTGTGGAATAATTTGTGGAGTTCAGCTCTGGATGAGAAATGGCTGGGAAATACTTCTGCAGTGTTTTGTGAAACCACTAACTTGTTCATCTCCTGTATTCAAGTAATAGCTGCAAAACCCTTGAAATCGATTCACCTTCAAATTTCAAACTTGCAGACAAATCATATTGTATTAACACTATGCACAGAGCTATTCTTCAAAGTGTATGTTTAGCTAATGCAATCTATTTTACCTCAGTACTGCCAGTATCAACTTCAAAACCTTTTGCCAAAATAATGATTTATTTTTTGCCTTTATAAAAAGTTTTGAAGCATAGATTAATATTTTACAATAAAACATTAATTTAAATAAAATGTAACCATTTGGAAAATGGTATATGTACAGATTAAAATATTAACATAACTGCCTCCTATTGCCTTTGTCTTGCCTGCTTTATCAGCATCCATGTGGCTCAAAATCCAGAGTCCTCTGAGCTGTGGTCACATTTTGGTTTGAACACCACTGAAGTTCCCCAGTTTTGCACT